TAGCCTGATCAGTGTTTAGTCATATCTTACTTCAATGAATTCTTTCCACATTAGATGTGGAGAGTGTTCCATCAAGTACAGAGCTGCATTTTTTAAAAAGGCTCCCTCCCACCTTTTACTAATTGGGCTGATATTGGCCACTTGCCTTTACAAATAAAAAGAGTGTGGCCAAAATTACCGGAAAATGGCTAATTATGCCCACAATGGGAAAATTATTCCCGTGAGTAAATGCTCTAGAGTGTAAAATGAAATCCCAAACCCAATCACAAAAGAATCTGCCTTAATAGTTATTCAGCCATCCAGCCTGGAATGCTCATCAGATAAGCAAGTCAGCACAGAGCCAGGGAGCTCCTTTGGCTTGCATTCTAGCTCAGTGTTAGTGAAGGCTATTCCAACCCACCTTGAAGTCAAATTGGAAAGTTTCATTGTGTCCATCTCTTTTTAAAACTTATAATATCTATGATGCCACTATTTGAATACACTGTATAAAAATTTTGCTAGAACTTCAGTTTCTTTATGCTCATTGTTTTTCAGCCAAATGGTCCATTTTCCTTGTCGGATTCAAATTTATACTCTTGGACTATTAGCAAATTGGAGACCCAAGGAGAATGTTCCTAAGACATTAAAAACAAATAGACAAAAACAAAAACAGTGTCAGGAGATTTCTTTTGGAATATAGTTCTTTGAAATGATTTATTTATTTATATTTTATTTATTTGCATATATGTATGTCTGTGTGAGTTTATGCTTACCACAGGCTTAGAGATGCCCAAGGAGGCTAGAGGGCATTAGATACCCAGGAACTGGACTGAGTAATAGGAGATTGTAAGCTGCCTATGTGGGTGCTGATTTGGTTTCCAGTGCCCACAACAGGCAGCTCACAATCTCTGCAAGAGTAGCAAGTGTTCCTTTTGGAAATAATAATACTATTCATTTTTGAGTAACAAATATATTTTGATCATATTCAGCTCTCTTCTTCAATTTCCTTTCAGATTCACTCCTATCTCTCTACCCATCCAACTTCATTCTCTCTGTTCTCCCCACCCCAACCTCTACTTATTGAGTCCAATTGGTGTTTCTCAAATACTCTTGGGTGTGAGGCCAGCTCTTGGAGTGAGGTCAACCTAACAAGCCCACACCTTTAAAGAAGCTGTCAATTGTCAAGAGCTATAGAGATAGAGGTAGGACTTCTTCTTCAACTCCATGATGACATTCTGGGATTTTTGTTAGCTTGAGGAAGACCTTGGATAGGTCTTGTCCATGTTATCACAATCACTGTGAGTTAGTTCATATGGCTAACTGCCCTGTTTCCTGGTAGTCATCCACCTCTTTTGGCTCTTACAGTCTTTCTGCTGCTTTTGCTTGACAAACCTGAGGCTGAGTGGTAGGGGTGTAATATAAATATTCCATTTAGGGTCGAGTACTTCAGTTTCTCATTCTCTGCTCATTGATGAATGGTGGGTCAGTGTATTCTTTGCCATTCATTGCAAAAAGAAGTTTCCTTGATGAGGACTGAGAGTTGTACTAATCTATGGTTATTAAGATCTTAGATTGTCATTTCTCTGTCAATGACTATATTGTTATGAAACAGATTGGTAAATTGTAATGATAACTCTAATTTAAGTTTTTGTAAAAAAAAGCAGTGATGAGAAAAGAAAAAAATTGTGGTTTGAGACATTTATATTAAAAATTTTCCTCCATAATTGATTTTTTTGACTGAAAGAAAGAAATTCTAACCTGCAAGAGGGATGGAGAAGAAAGTTTATCCTTTGAGTTGACCAAGGGGAAATGGCTTGTTTGATATGCCACAAGAAAGGAAATGCTGGCTAGGACATAACTGATTGTTGATAAAGCCTAGGTATAGTATATTAAAGCATCAAGATATGTGTGGGAAATTGAGCTTCTGTTGGCCAGCTCTGTAGTGATTGGATAAATAAAGAAAAAGAATATGGTTTTGGCCCTAAAATTACTCAGGATATTTCAGAAGTGGAATGATAGAAGTTGTAAGCTATTTTTTCCTAATCTTAGAATGAACATACTCTTTCAATATTAGGATTACTCAACTCAAATATATATATATATATATATATATATCAATAATAATGTGACAAAAGAATAAGCAAGCTTGCAGGTAGCATGCAAACACTTGTATCTTTGTGCCCTGACAAATTACTATTGATTAACCCATACTGATTTGTAATTTTTTTAAGAACAAAATTTATAGTTATGCTCCAATGGGTCAATAGCAGTGTCCTTTGCAAAATTCATGAACTTTATGGAAAACAATTTTAAAATTTGCATTTACAAATATGAGACAAAATTTAAATTGATTTTCAGTTACATTTGCAATAGTGTTATCCACTTGCCTACCCATAGCCTATCTATGACTTATCTGAAGACCCTATGGTGAAAGAGGTGGTTCCCCCACTGCACTCAATCATAGTCCATGACTGTTATCAGAGAGACTTGGGTAAGACCTTGTAAGAGCGGATGACAACAGTGAACTGAATTACCATAGGCTGGATATTGTTGAGTCTTGTGTGTGATTGATGGTTACCACACAAACTTGCTGCTGTAATCTTAACAAACAGACTGATTGGGAATGCTGTACTCAGTGTGAAGTGCAGCCTTGTTCCCAGGAGCAAGTGTTCTGGATCACTAAGGAATGAAGTGATGATGGAAAGCTGTAAAAGTGAAACTATTTGCATTGAGACTATTTCTCCAGTTATTGTGGTCAACATAACTTGGTGACCACTAAGATAGATCTCACTAAGATGCATTTTTAGGACTCTGATTTTGAAGTCCAGTAGATGACAACAAAGATAAGAGTGGTGTTGGGTAAAATATGTCTCAATATGTTATATTTGGGAGACCTCCAAACATGATTTTGAAGCACTTTGTCTTGAAGATTTTAGGTCCGGTACATAATAAAGGAAATTTAATCTTGACATGTGTCTAAGTCATCAAAACATTGTTTTGTTAAAACAATCTGTTTTCTAGACAAAATAACATTTAGTTATATTTGACTTGCATGTATCTGTACATACATACAGAAGAATATGAACTGGTCATCTTTTAAACAGATTCCAGTGTTTTAAATTTTGTTTAATCTTGATTCATTCCAGAGTTAGTGGATTATTTTTTATTCGACATCCTGGCATCTGCAGTTTTGAAGACTGTATAGCTTTCATGATGTTATTTTGTAAGAAAGTAGAGATGCTCATATAAGTATTTTATATCAGAATTTCATTGTCAGTATAGAGCAGTGGTTTTCAACATTCCTAATGCTGTGACCCTTTAATATAGTTTCTCATGCTGTAGTGGCTCCTTAGCCATAAAATTATTTTATTGTTACTTCATAACTGTAATTTTGATACTGTTAATAATTGTAATATAATTACATGATCTAAAAGGGGTTGTGGCCCACAGGTTGAGAACTGCTATATAGATTCACAAAAATCTTCTAAGATAAATAATAATTGCTATTTATGATCAATATTCTTGCTACTAACTTTGGTATTCTAAAGTATTCTATCAGTTAATTCATTTATTTATCGATGTATTCAGTAAATATTCATGAACTTCTAATCAGGAAAGTGCACTGATGATTCAGATGTAGCTTCTGTCTTTGAAAAACCATGCTAGCAAATGAAAAGAATAGAAAACTTAAAGGAATAATACATTGCAATAAGAGGTAATTGAAAAGAAGATTAAGCTTTATCTCAGAGAAATTTTTGCAAATCTAGTTGTATCAAAAAGTCAGTTGGCTTATTCAATGTTCCAACTATCCTAGATAAATGAGAATTAATATTATGTTTGAAAACAAAATATAAACAAATATGAAACAAATAACATCTTAAACAATATTATTGTATGCTTCACTAGAATTTATTTTCAACCTTTCTGATATTACAGATAATCAATTCAAATTCAAATACAAATGATGTATAACTGTAGACACTTGAGGCCAGTATCTAGGTATTTGTATTGATGTGACTATAGTTGCTTGTGCATTTCATACATGTGTGTATGTGTGTGCACAAGTAGGGATAAAATTGGCAAGCCTTCCATGACTCATTAATTCACTAACAATCCCAGGAAACCGGGAGTGCTCCACACTGCCCCCAGCTCCAGATGAAATGTGTTACTTAGTGATGAATTTCAAATTCCTATAATTTTATATCCCTTAACCAGGCATCTTAATAAGTTATTATTGCCATGCTATACAGACTACTACCTCTCTTCAATACAAATGCATGTATGTCTCTCACTCTCAGAAAACTGCTTTCCTGTTTTTTCTTTTTTTTTAATTGATTCTGAATGATAATTGAAGTTTTAGAAAACCATACCCATTGTTTTAAGGTAGAATGATTGAAAGTACTTGTAACTCACATAAAAATATAAGTAACTGTAGAAGAATTTACTAAAGTTATAAATACTTTGGGAAATATATTAAAGAAAGAAAAAATGTAAATGCTAATATTCAAAATCATTTTGTTTGTTTATTTGTTTTTTTGAGACAGGATCTCATTGCATAGCTCTGCCTGACTTCAAACTCCCTATGTTACCAGGCTGGTCTTGACCTCACAGAAATCCCCCTGCCTCTGCCTCTAGAGTGCTGGGATTAAATGTGTGTACCACTAGGCCTGGTAAGATTTTCTCTGAAAATATAACCACTTTGAAAATGTTTTACTTATAGGAAATATATGCATTTCTAAGCCAGCTGTGTTCTTATTATGTAATCTATGATTTATATTAAAAATTACATTCACTGACTAAACTGTCTTATAGTAACTCAAACATATTATAAACAGAGATTCCAAAAGTCAGGAAAAAGTCTATCCTTTCCAGTATCATTTCTGTAGTTCATCAAAAATTAGAATAGCTCAAGAATGTATAATTTTAGTAGGGGTATTACTTAGAAAATTTCAGTTTATTATGGAAATAATGTTGTTTTGTTAATATCATATTACATTATTTTAAATCAATCCATATTTTAGGTCATGACCCTTGTAATTAAGAAATTGTTGAAGACAATGTCAAATATGATCCAGGAGAAAATGTGATTTGAGTCTGGAGACAACTGTTCATGTAAGTATTTGGAAATTAGATTTTCCAGGGGTGAAATGTAACTAACAACTAAAATAACAACTTGTTAATTGCTAAATACAGAAACTTTGATTTTTACTTTTCAACACAGACACACTATTTTTTAAGATGTGAGAATAATCCAGGCCTTCCTGGTTTTCAGGTATACTTTTCTTAAGATCTTAAAAAACAAGTTCAGGTAGCTGACTGATAGACTAGAACAATATCCAGAAGATTGCTTATGATTGAAAAGAGCAGTCGCAGCTAGCTAGGTGAGTCAATGGGGACGAATGATGGAGTAAATTCAATCTAAGAACCCATCGAGTCTCAATGCATGTCATAAAAACCACAAAACATGGAGTCATGTGGAAAAGGGCCTTCTAATATTATTCTGAAAATAGTTACATAATGAATGTTATGCCTTGTTTTCTAAAAGAATTCAATCTAAGTTCATTGTTCAGTGGCAAATATCTACTGAAGATTTGTTTTATTTCCTGTGAAAAACCATTGTTACATTTTAAGTGTGTATTGTGTATAGTGCCTATATAATGATAACCCAGACGTTTAAAACTAGTGTGTTATAGTGTATTAGTAGGAAGTAAGCTTTAGGGGCTCAATCCAGTGGCGTTGGTCTCAGTATTCTCTGGTAGATGATTTATGAGAGGCCATTTTTACCAGCATAGTATTTTTAATAATGTTCATCCCCCATGGCCTTATTTCAGTAGTATAGATGACTTTGAGAATCTTTTTATTTCCCAATTTAAAAGAATTAATCTCTGTCTTAACTATTTTTCTTATTGTTTTAACAAAAATGGCCACCAGGAAACAATCTTAAAGGAAGAGGGTTTATATTTGCTCACAATTTGAGAGTAGAGTCTGTTTTGTCAAAGAAGTAATGACAGTAGGGATTTGAACTGTTTGGTCACTTTGGGTCTTCAGTCAAGAAGCAGACATCAATGGATGCTCCCATTTAACCTGCTTTGTCTTTGTTTATTTGGTTCATGATCCCAGGCCACGGAATGCTCCTCCACACAGTTAACATAGGGCTTCCTACATCAATTAACCCATCCAGATACTTCCTTACAGTCATACACAGAGGCTAACAGTAAAAAAAAAAAAAAAAAATTATTTCTTTATTTTACATCCTGGCCGCAGTTTCTCCTTCCTCTTCTCCTCCCAGTCTCTCCCCACAATCTCTCCTCCATTCCTAACCCCCAATCCACTTCACCATTTCTGTGTAAGGAATGGGCAGGTCTCCCATGAGTATCAACAAAACATAACACATTATGTTGCAGTCAGACTAAGCATCTCCTCATTTATTAAGGCTGGGCAAGGAGACTTACTGTGAGGAGCAGAATCCCAAAAGCCTGTAAAAGAGTCGGAGACAGCCCATTTCCACTGTTAGGAATCCCACAAGAGGACCAGTCTACACAACTGTAACATATATGCAGAGGGCCTTGGTCAGTCCCATGCATGCTCCCTGGTTGTCCTTTCAGTCCCCAGAAGCTAATTTAATGTGGATAATTCCTTACAGATGTGTCTGGTTGGAGGCTTGTCTTCTAGGTGATTAAAACCCATCCATTGGTAGTTAGTACTAACACAAATTTAATAACAATTTTCAATGGTGAAGAATTGAAATTTCTTTTTCTTTTTTTCTTTGTTTCTCTCTGTCTCCCTCCCTCCCTCCCACTCTCCCTCCCTCCCTCCCTTTCTTCAGAGTTTCTTTGTGTAACTGTCCTGGTTGTCCTAGAGCTCACTTTGTAGACCATCCTGGTCTCGAACCCCCAGAGATCTACCTGCCTCTGCCTCCCAAGTGAACCACCAGTTTGAAATTTCATGTTTATGTTGTTTGAATGCAAATTCTCAAGAAATTGGCCTGAGAATAAATTTCCTTCATTAAATTGAAGTCATAAAGTAACAGATAAGCTTAATACTTATAAGAAATAATGATAACTGTAAAGATAGTCATGTAAAGCTGATTATGTTTGTAGTTAAATAGTTTTATTCCAATTTTGGTAAAAGCAAAGAAAGCAAGATGGTTTCGAATTATACACAAAAATACATATGCAAAATGTTTTCTTACTTGTAAGTCAAATTAAACTAGAATATATTTCACTAAGCTCTGTTATAATGTTTTCAATATTTGTAGGACTACTACTTGTTTTCTTATATATTTCACTAAGCTCTGTTATAATGTTTTCAATATTTGTAGGACTACTAATTAAATTCTTAGATAGTGTAGAATTATAACAGATATTTCCTTTTGAAACCTATATTGATTTCATGAATTTGAATTTTATTTATTTCACTTTTATTATAGTTTGAACATACAGCACATTTTATTTGGACTCTAAAGATGGAGAAAAAGCATATACTATATTTTATGTTGCTCTTCCTCTTTAATATGGTAAGTATTCATCCCACTTTATGAGTTACTATTATGCTTTACTTACAATATACACCAAATTGTTAAAAGTTAATAAACACAAGTTAAAGTAGTTATTAGATGAGTAAGTTGATTTCATATCCAAGTAACACGGCAATAATCCACTTCTTTTAATTCAGTATTTTTTTATGCTTTGAATTTCTATAACTAATATGGACTGTTGGGTCCTTGAAGGAGGTTGGAAAATCAATGGATTCAAATGGGCAAATCTTGTGTTAAAGTGGTGAAGTTAGAAAAACATTGGGGTGATACTTTATAATAGTACAGTTACACACAGCACATAAAGTATTTTTAGAGAGACACACAAATTCAGTTATTTGTAAGAAAAAAACATATTCTAGTCTTTAAATTTTTTTTTGTTTTGGTGGGGGGGGTTTGAGACAGGGCCACATGTAAAATGTTTTTTGTTCATTGATTGTCATGTATTGATTGAAAGAAAATCTAGGAGACATGTACTGTATTTTGTATTCATTTACTCATTCATTCATCAATTCACTCACTCAAATAGATCTTGATGCTGAATTTGGGGCAAGTGCATCTCCATGAGAATGTGCACATCCTTGCACATCTCTACATATGTGTGTTATTGCTGTGAAGCCAGAAGTGAAGTCAGAGGGTTACCAAACCCAAAAGAGCTACATGCTTCCTGGTTTCACTTCTTATTTGTAGTCGTGTGTCTCTTCGTCTTGTTCTCTGCATCAGACTAAAGCAGTCAGTGCTGCTCATCTTTCTTTATATGAACGGGAAACCCAGAGACATAATCTCATCTAATTCTGTGCCAGCAAAGAACTTTCCTGTGGTGTTTCCAAGCAAAGCACTCAAAAAAAAATTCAAACAAAGGAACTGAAAACTTAAATGAGCAAAAAAGCAATATTACATTTTTGTGAGTACACACATTGGAAAACATCCTCAAGCCTAGAAGTAGTCTAGTGTCTGCGGTTATGAGATGTTATCTTGGGTAACTGACTAGACTTCAAAGGACAGAACTGTTTCTTCAACTAACACCCTCAGTTAGGTGTGCCAGCAAGCTACATGGGCCAACCAGAGTTCCCTGCAGGCAACACTGGAACATTTTACCAATCAGCTTAGTGTAATATAAGGAACTGTGACCCTTTCCCTTGAATTCATCCATGGATGGTATATAAATATGTTAGAAACTATTATTACTTTGCTTAATTTCTACAAAGCTTTTCAGAAAAATGGTTTTATCTATTTTGATTTTCTAACATTGTCTTGGGATAGGATGTAGCTCAATCTATAGTGCTTGCTTAGCTTACACAAGTCACTGGGTTCAACCCTCAGCTTGACAAATAAAATCAAATGACTTAAAAATAGTCATGATGGTCTAGGATTTCACTTATTACTTCTCAGAGTAACTTTTCTATTAAGAAACTCAAGCCTACCAGAAAATAACAGTCAATATCAGTGTTAATCAGGTAATGTGATGCCATGCAGTGAGGAAATTATTTTTTTGACATTTCAAATGTACAAAGTTTGCTTATTTTCCATGTGATGGGTACTCCCTGATATCCGGATGCCATTTTCTACTGTTTTATGAGATGAAAGGGAGTCTTGGTAGTAGTGATGAATACCTGGCCAACACTCACAGAGCAAGTGACAAAACTGGGGGACTAAATATGGCTGTTTGCATTTCAAAACAAGTATTTTAGGCTGTGCTGTAGTCAGTCAACTACCACAGGCTTTGGAGAGTTGGCAGCTCCTGTCAGTGCTGTCACTGACAGCACCTGAAGGCTGTTTGAAACTGGACACAGAGTTTAGACTACAGAACGTGGTGAACACCACACACTGGGGTTTTCCTCATGAGAGTCCTCTAGCGATCAAGCACCTCACTGTTGTTGATGTTTTCCACCAGGTCTCTAACTAAGATTCCACCATTCTAAAGCCACTGTTTTACTCCCTTAGACTCTTGGCACAGCAGAGTCAGAAGAAGAAGAAGGTTTTAACCAAACAGATCTTGGAGTCACTAGAAACAAGATCATGACGGCTCAATATGAATGTTACCAAAAGATTATGCAAGATCCTATTCAACAGGCAGAAGGTAGCGACTACTAATTCTAGATATACTTTACAAATATTTAAAAGAACTATGTGGGTTCTTTAAATCCATTAATTAAAAATTAATTAGTTGCTTATTTTCATTATGTATTTGTGAAGTGTATTTTATGGCATGATTCAACTCTTTATAGTAAAATTTAACAAAATATTTTATATGCTAAATTTTCCAGAATTGTTCTTTAGAAGGTATAAAAATACTTATATATTAATATTAAAACAAGATAAGTCAATAATCACTGACCTTTAGTTCATGTAATTCATAAATTTATCTTTTTTAAAGAAACACCTTGCTTGATAAAACTTGTATGCAGGTTTTTTTTTTTTAATAATACACATGTGTTCATAGTAAATTTGGTAGCAAAGCTATCAAAGTCTAAATGCTCTATTTTCCTTAAGAAAACCCTTTGTCATTGGTGCCATTCATGGAGGACCTTCCAAGCACCTGACCTTTGCCTTGATTCAGGACGTAAAAGATGTGTCACCAAAGTAGAGTTTCCATACGTATCCAAACTCAAAAGAACTTCCTGGTTCAATCTGGGAAGTCCAAGGCAGACTTAGTTTCAAATATAGGGTACAAAACAGAGTGGACCAAAGGCCAATGTGGACCCTTTGGATAATTCTGTTTTTTTTTTTTTTTAGAGAAAAGAAAGATTTCAAAATATTTAGAAAAAACATTTATAATGTACTTGTATTTAGTCAAATAAGAAAGTAAAATGTATTTGCACTTAAAAATGACCCTGCTCTTAAAAATGAGAAAACCTTTTTCACATTTAACACCTTTAAGCTTAATTTAAATGACCATACATTTACTAATATTCCAAGAACTATTTATTTACTGGAGTTGCACCAGTATTTTTGTTGTAGCAGTCAGAAAAGTATGTTTTGAAATTTACAAAACAATGACAAATTACTTGATTTAGGACATCAATAAAATTGAAGTATAAAGTAATTAAAACATTTGTCAACGGACATCATTTTATTCTATATCATTGCTTTAAAACTATTGAATTAACCCCTTGCAGATGATCTGGAGAAAGGTCTAAATACTAAAAGTTAATGCTGAACATTAGGAAAATCCTTTTTGATTTCATAATAAAACTATTCTGTAATAAAATAGTTCAGGATCGATGCTTATTTTATCTCAGAACTCCACAATGCATTTTGCAATTTGTTAAAAATACACTAAAAGTGGACTAAATACCTATTTTTTTTATTTTAAATCTGAGGTCCATTTGGATGAACACTTCTATCTGAGCCTGACTCCATAGAACATAGACAAAAAACCCCAAAAAACCCAACCAATCAACCAACCAACCAACCAAACAGACATTGTGATGCATCATGCTGCCTGGGTTGACGTGTATTCTATAGAAGCTTCCATGGTGGAACTTGGACAATATGATTTCTGAAGCAATAGTGATGTTCTTTGATAGATCACAAAATGTATTTTACCAGTCACATATGATTGGAAACATTTTAAAACTTATTTAAGATCACTGGAGAGAAAGCTGTGGTTGTCCTAGCTGCTTTTTAAAAGTTTGCAATTATGTAGAGTTTTAGGCCACCAGAATGATCATGGCTTCATTGGGGCTAAAATGATCTCAGGATTGATGTGCAGATATGCTATTATTAACAATTATTTCATGCAACAGTGTTCAACTTACTTCTTACAAATTACAGATTGTTATAGATTTTTTGATTAGATATTTTTAGGACACTGATGAGTTAATTTCTCTATGCATATATTGTAATATGCAGTATATGTTATGTAAGCTTCTTTATCTTCTTATTGATGAAAACATAAGATGATTATAGTTAAAATGTTAAAATAGTAATATTGACTAGAAGGTATTTACTTCAGAAAATGCTCAAAAAACTTTTCTTAAGAATTTAGTTTGCAGGGGCAGGGGCAGGGGAATCTCTATGAGTTTGAAGCTAGCCTAGGCTACAGACAGAGTTCTGGGATGGCCAAGACTACATAAAGAAACCTTGTCTCAAAAAAAGATTACATTTTTCTAAAATAAAATATGCTTTATTTTTCCCTTTAAAAAGATAAGTATAAACAGCGGAAAGTCAATGCTAAAAAAAAGTTAAGTATAGAGACACTAACAACTGTCTCATGGTTAGATAAAATAGTTAGAGACAGACTGATTTATTGAACAACAATTGCTTTGAAGAAATTTAATTGAATCTAATAACAGGGTCATTACTAAATTTGGTTTGGATATTATTAATAATAATTCTTAGCCACCAACTCCCAGCAATAGTTACCGTAATGATTACTTAGTGACAAAATCAGGCAATTGTTGTGGGTTTTATATCTCTTCATTTCCAGGAGACTTCTATTACACCAAGGCACTGAGAAACCTTTCTTAAGAGTTTGTTTTTAGGAACTGTGTTGATATCTTGCTTGTACACATAAAGCTTGTCTGAAGATCAGAGGATGGAGCTTGCCACTAGCTAACCTAGTCTGTACAGACAGGAAGTAAGATGGCTGGGCAGAGGCAGGAATTGGCATGGCAGGACAGAGAGGAAATAAGTGGTAAGAAACAGGAACTCCCTCTCTTTTCGGCTGGGAAGCTAATGAGGTAAAGGTGGCTTTAACTTGATCCTTCTTCTCTCTGATCTCTCATCATTTTCCTGTATATCTGACTCCAGGTTTTTATTATTTAGACCAATTTAGAACTCCATTTACAAGGAACTATAGACACAAGCATCACCGACAGAATACAAAAGATGGGAGAGAAAATCTTTTTATTTTAGGAAAAAAACCATTAAAATTGTTCTTTAATTTCACTAAGATTAAAAAAAAGAGTTTGTTTTTATGGGTATCTACAGAGACTTAGTAACCTCTTGTTTTCATCTCCTCTCTAAGGCCTTTACTGCAACAGAACCTGGGATGGGTGGCTGTGCTGGAATGATGTTGCAGCAGGAACTGAATCGATGCAGTATTGCCCTGATTACTTTCAGGACTTTGATCCTTCAGGTATATGCTGGAATTTAATTATAGATCTCATTGAAATCATTGAATATTGTGTTTGTTAAATGCATTTGGAACATATCACAAAAGTAGTCTAGAAAGACTTGCAGTATATAACTATCTTGATTTTAACTTTCTATTTCTGAATTCATTTAACCAATGAAAAAAATTGAACAGAAACTGTAGGCTTATTAAACTCTTTTTAAAAAAATTTTCCTTTTTATAGAAAAGGTTACAAAGATCTGTGACCAAGATGGAAACTGGTTTAGACATCCAGATAGTAACAGAACATGGACAAATTACACTCTGTGTAATAATAGCACACATGAAAAAGTGAAGGTATGTAATAAGTGTGAGTTGAAATTTGGTTTATACTTTTAAATAGTATAATGAGTGCAAGGGGTGGGGGTAGTCAATGTTCCATTCCACACTAAAGCCATTTCCTAATATCATTGGAGAAGAACAATGAAAAAAATATGTAGAAAAGCTGCTATTAATTCCGTCATTGGGGAAGTAATCTTGTTAGGTAACAGTGTATTTAAGTCAGTGCCTCAGAATTGGGGTTTCATGTTTTCCAAAGAAAATATAACTTAAAAGTGTAATATAAAGGAAACTTTCATTTCTAGTGGAATTCTAGAATTACCTCAAAAACTGCCTGTATGAAACAGGATAAGCTCCTCAGTAGAAGATGCCCATCCTTACTGGATGTACAGGACAGTTTCAGTCTTGTTCCTGCTTTGAAACTTAGAATTAAAGCCACAGTTAAGGACAATCCTCACAGAGTGAAGCTTTGAAATACTTCTATGTGTTTTCAGTTTTTGTGTGTATGATTAAAAGTGATATATACTTCCTGTTTTGGTACTTTATCTGCTCCATGGCCTTATGTGCTCAACAAGATAACTGTACTTTTCTTCCAGTGGCTTTCAGAAGACCAGTGTAGTGTAAATAACTACATGGTATCACTGTATTTGTGTATCACGTGTGCTTTGCTTATTCAAAGGTGTTTACATTACAAACCCAAACCTAAACCCCAAACCCAACCGAACCAACCAACCAACCAACCAACCAACCAACCAACCTACCAACTAACCAATCAACCAAACAAACAACCCGCCAACTAACCAACCAACTAACCTACCCACCAACCAACCAACAAAACAACCCAGCCACTACCAACCAACCAACCAACCAACTCACCAAACAACCTACCACACAACCAATCAACCAAACAACTCACCAACCAACCCACCCCCCATCCACCAACCAACCCTGTATAAATGTGAAAAGTAAATAGAAAAAGAAAGAAAAGAAAAACCAAGAAAAGAATGTTAAAACACATTTCTATATATCAAAGGTTCTTTTAACTTTCCATATTATGATCTGTCTCTGAGCCTTAGATTTGTGAAAAGAAATAGAAAACTCAATAGGTAAAGAAAGCCTTACCAGGCATTTAAATCTGAAAAAGCCAAATCTTGAGTATCATTTGATTTTAAATATAAAATGCTGATTTTTATGTACAGTATAAACTCGATCAAGAAATGCATTACCTCAAAGATTTAATATGTGACTTCTGATTTCTTAGAAAGTAAACATGACTTAAAAGTATTTGAATACTCACTTGGTAAATTTGAATAGATGTACTTCATTTACATGTTTTCAAGTATTTATTGGTTTTCAAGCAAGTAATTATAAATCTATCAACATGTTTTTTAAATAAAATTGATTAATTTGCATCTTATCTAATATACAAGTAGATTTTAGATACAGAATTCATTCTCTTTTTTAATCACAATTATAGACTGCACTGAATTTGTTCTACCTAACTATAATTGGACATGGATTATCTATTGCATCCCTGCTCATCTCTCTCATCATATTTTTTTATTTCAAGTAAGTACATTTAAAAATTTTTCAAATTTTGAAAACTATGGTAAATTCAGGTTATATATGTATTGAACTCATGTGATGACAAAATATACATAACAGTATTAAACTTAATATTTAAAGTAAAATTTTTATTTTATTTTAGTTTCACGAAATAAACAAGTTATTAATGAAATATACTAATCCTAGTTTATAAAGTTATTAGGCATATAAAATATAATATATGCTTTGATCATGTTGGTTTAGAGGGTGGGCCTTGTTTTGTCAGTGTCCTCCATCCCCTCCGGCTCCTATGTGCTTTCTGCCTCTTTTTTTTTTTTTTCTGGAAGATAAGTAATTTTTATTTGGAATAATAAAGTTGGGGTTAAGGCCTGGAGCTCTATGCAACCCAAGTCTGTATCTATTCCAGCCCATCCCATTTCCCAGTGCTGCAGTGAGTGTTGACAGTATGTGGCTAGACTGTTGAGGAAGTGAGGAGAAGGGACCCCTCTGTCCATTAGTAATGTCTGCTACAAGGATCATGAGTCAGAAGCGAACCACATGCACAGACGATGCCTGTCACCTCCTGATATTTCATTTTCTTTTTTTTCACAATAGAGAATGGGGGGGGGAAGCAAAGGTACAACTTTATCTGTGAAGCCCTGCTCTCTTGTCTTTTTTTAGGGTTTTCGTTTAGTTTCTCAATGAATGGGAAGTTCATGAGTTATCCGAAAGCATATAAACTCTTTTTTTTTGACTTTTTTATTTGAATTACAATCAAGATTCAATTACATGACAATCCCAGTTCCCTTCTCCTCCCTTCCTCCCCTACCACTCCCCAACTAAAACCCTACCTATCACATATCCTTTCTTCTAATCTCCCCCTGACTCAACCTTTCTGCGCCCTCATGACCTCTGCATTTTTCCTTTTCTTCCCTTCTCATTTTCATAGCTCCCTCCCCCCTCTTCCCCTGTTCTCAATTTGCTCAGGGGATTGTGACCCTTTCCCCTTCTCCAGGGGACAAAGTTTGTCTCTTTTAGGGTCCTCCTTGTTTTTTAGTTTTTCTGGCAGTGTGGGTTGTAGGCTGGTAATCCCTTACTCTATGTCTAAAATCCACATATGAGTGAGTACATATCATGTTCGTCCTGTTGTGATTGGGTTACCTCGATCAGAATGGTTTCTTCTAGTTCCATCCATTTTCCTGCAAATTTCAAGATTCCATTGTTTTTTTTTTTCTGCTGATGAGTACTCCATTGTGTAAATGTACCACAGTTTCTCTATCCATTTTTCAGTTGATCTGCCTCTTCTTTCCCAGGGTTTCCTGAGCCCTGAGGGGAGGGATTTAATGAAGACATCTTATTTAGGGCTGAGTGTTCTAAGGTCTCTCATTCTCTGCATAATGTGTGGCTGTAGGTCTCTATATTTATTCCCATCTGCTGCAGGCAGAAACTTCTCTGATGATGGCTGAACAAGGCACTGGTCTATGAGTACAGCAGAATATTAATAGGAGTCATTTTAATGAGATTTATCTACCCTCTAGTCCCTTACTCTATACCTAATCTCTGTTGCTTGGTTATCATTAACATAACAGCTATCACCTAATTATAAATGAATACAAATCATATTTGTTTTTCTGAGTCTGGGATACCTCACTTAGGATGATTTTTTGAGTTCCATCCATTTACCTGCAAATTTTATATTTTTCAACAACTGAGCAATACTCCATTGTGTAGATGTACTACATTTTCTTTATCTATTTTGTTGAAATGACAACTAGGCTGTTTCCAATTTGTGGCTATTATCAATTCAGTAGAAATGAACATAGTTGAGCAAGCATCTCTGTAGTAAGATGAAACATCCTTTGGGTATAGGTACAAGAGTGGTGTAACTGGATCCTGAGGTAGATTCATTCCCATCTTCCTGAGGAACCACCACACCGATTTCCATAGTAGCTGAACTTTTCTTGCACTATGGGCATGTCTGATATGTATAGGGGTCAGTAGAAGCATTGAATCCCTACAAACTGGAGTTACAGACACTTGTGATCCAATATGTAGAGCTGGGAATTTCATCTGAGTCCTCTGCAAGAGTAGCCAGTGCTCTTTGCCACTGATCTGTCTCTCTAGCCCATTTTTGCAATATGTATCTAGTTTTATTATGCAATGTCTTATATTTTTCAAACCTTGACATTTTTTGGTCAAAGACAAAAGTTTTTGTGCTTCTTGAATTGTATCAATCCAAAAGTCTCCTAACCTAAAAACAACATTTTTGGAATAATTTCATAACATTCAAGTCTTCCAAACTTAAGACAAGTTTCTTGCAGAGTGAGCTTCACTGATGGTATTACCAAAAACTCATTTGCATTCATCGGAAATTTAGCAGTAATTGAAGAGTCCATTATCTTTTTATTCCTCCTCATAGTTCCTTTTCTTTCCTTACCAAATCCAGTTTGCATCATCTCTTTTTCAGATGGGACTCACTGTGTAGCCACTGCTGATCTGAATGTAGACTAGGCTAGTTTCAAACTCATAGAGATCTGTCTAACTCTATCTTCAAAATGTTGGCATTAAAGGTGTGTTCCACCACACCCAGATGCTATTCTAGTAGTTTTTAAATCAGCTTCCTTTATTCACCTGTAATCTTAAAAGAAATTGCATCCAAAACAGACCTCACTTGTCATTCTCTGCTTAAAAATATTAGGTTGCTTTTTACTGTAGGGGATGCTGTAGCCACACAACCAGATAAGGTGGGGAATTACCAATATGGAGCCAGGTAGAAATACAAGGGATTTTAATAGGGAAAAGCCTTACTTACAGAGTGACCTAGCCAGCTGGGGGGCAGCAGTCCTTACAGCAAGAAGAAAGTGACACCGAAAGCCGAAACCCCCACCTGAACGGCTCTCACTCTAATCACCCTGACCACGCCCTTGCAGGCGTGGCTACATCATCCCCTACATTTTACTGTACCTCATATAAACACAAAACTACTAGTGAGTTCTGCCTATCATCTTTTCTACCTGAATAGCTTGATTAAATGTTTCGTATCTGGGAGCTAAACTTGATCATTTCCTCAGTGGACTCTTCCTGAGTTCCTCACTGAAGCTGTAAGTAAGTACAGTGGACATGGTGCAAAAATTTGAAAGTATTTGAGAGATAATCATCTCTTTAAATTAAAAACCATTCCATTCCAGCTGAGACGCTTCACATTAAACTGTCTCTATTTTTCATGTAATAAGCCAAAACATCTAGGACATTAAATTTCTGAAATCAATAAAGTTAATAGCAATTACATTGCATTCCAAAAGAAAGAAAACAATAGTCTCCTGGAATTCTAGGCCATATGCCTTCACGTAATTCTGATTTTGCAAAGATGTCAATAAAATACCCATCAAGTGAAAAGCAAAATTAATACTACTTCCTCATGTGAAAAAGATTGGAGTTAATAAAAGAAATACTCACTGGGCATATGAGGCAAGTGGAGCTGCCAAGGCAAACAATACTGAAGCCAAACCAGACCAGGAAAAGTATAACATCAGTCTGAATCTCTAATCAGACTGTTCATTCATTCAATTCTCAAAGGAGAAAACACTTTCATAATAAATGGGTTATCAAGGAGGTTGAGATATTAAAGCAAACAATATCTGTTTTGAGTATATCATAAAAGTACAAAGAACGTTAAGTCATAAAGGATTAAGATGTACAGCGATAGAAACATAATAACATCTCGAACACAAATAACTATAATTAGGAATAGAGTTTGTACAATAACAAAGAGGAGAAAATATATGGCTTAATTAAAAAAAACCTCTCAATAGCTAAACAAATTGTAGTGAGTATCTAGTTATCAATGACCTCATTGTCACTCAAAATTTTCAGAGAGAAATTATATACTAATCTAAGAAGAATGTTGATATGCTTGGTCAGAGAAATGGCTCAGTCAGTAAAGTGCTCTCTGCATAAGAGGAGGACTTGAGTTTGGATCTTCAGCATCCATGTAAAGAGCCAGGAACAGGAAACTAGTTCCTGTAATCCCAATGCTGGTGAGGTAGAGAAAGAAAGACCCCAGGCCCTGCTGGACAGCCAATCTAGCCAAATCGTCACATTCCATGTTCAATGGAACATGCTGTTTTATTTTATTTTTTCAAATTTTTTTAGTTTTTTATTTTTATATATTTGAATTACAAACAAGATTGAATTACATGATGATCCCAGTTCCCTTCTCCTCCCTTCCTCCCCTACCACCCCCCAACTAAAATCCTACCCATCATATGTCTTTTCTTCTACACCTGACTCAAAATTTCTGCTTCCTCATGATCTCTGCATCCTTCCTTTTCTTCCCTTTTCACTCTCGTAGCTTCCTCCCCTCTCTTCCCATGTTCTCAATTTGCTTAGGGGATGTTGACCCTTTCCCCTTCTCCAGGGGACAAAGTTTGTCTCTTTTATGGTCTTCCTTGTTTACT